TTACTTTTATAATAATAAATAAAGAATGAACATGAAAAACAAGAAATAAAGTACTTACCCGGGTCTTCTTTCTTTCTTTTTGCTGTCGATGACAGTTAACCCTATTTATTTTTTTTATTATACTAATGGTAGTAGTGCACTAAATAATTTTTACTTAATTAAATAATGCAGCAAAGAACATAAAATAATAACATGAAAAAAAGCTGACAATTTTCTAGTGAGGGGTGGAGAATAAAATAGAGAAAAGGGGGATACCTAGAGAAATGTCACATTTCTCAAACTAGGGAAAATCCAGGATTTTTTTTAATATTGCCTTATAAAATTAATAATTTAAAACATATACTATGATTGCTCTCGTGGTTACTTTGGAGGTTACAAGCTGGGTGAAACCCAGAGTCATAGAGCTAAATGACAGGATTTTTCACTAAACTAGCAATTTAAAAAACTAAGGTGACAGACTTGAAGACATTAATATTCAGGATTTGTTTTATATTGCCTTATAAAATTAAGAACTTAATACTTATATACTATTAAAATATGGATTATTAGCTATGATTTTATGCTATACTAATTGGTATAACATGAACAAAAAGTAATTTAATTAAATTTTGAATGTAAGTCACTAAAACCTCGTGGCATGAGCAGTAAAGAATACCCATGCTGAGAGTTAAATAGTTGTAACATAAGCAAGTAAAAAATGGAACTATTATCAAATAAGTTTATTTTGAGTTCCTTTAAAAATTTTGAAGTATCGGGTTTGAAAGACCTCTTTCAACATTTTGACCTTTTTCTTTGTAATATTAGTTTATGTTCCACAAAATTAGCTAATACTCTAAGTATCATAAATATATGGTCTTTCCATCAAAGTGTATTGTTAATCACACAGAGTTCTCTTTTTAAAAGAAAATATATTTCTTCCATTACAAAATTTCCACCATAATTCCATTTGTCATAAATTTTAAATCAAACTGAAATGCTAGATGCACCTCAATACAAATGAAACATTTGTGGCATTTTGAGACATTTTATGCTATTTTCAATGCTTCAAGGAGTGAGAAATATAATTTTATAAAATTCCATGTATGATATACATATATGCAATGTGAAAAAAAGATGTGCACATTTAACAAATGCATAAGAGAAGTTACACAAGAACGCTTGACCAAAAAAGGCAATGTATACATCAAACATAAACTAAAATGCACTCCAGGCAGTATTGGGGACCAACTGTTTACGTTACAGACATAAAACAGATGCAACCATAGCAGAGAGAAAGTTTATATTAACTTCACTACTGGCAGTAAACGAATTCTATAAAAGGATTTAGAGAGGAAATCAGAGACTCTTGGTGGAACTTTGATTAGAAGAAAGGCAAGGAGATATACATGCTAACAAGCTGCTGATTTACTATCTTCAATCATAACCAACTAATGAATTAGTTTTGGTTTTAGTTCTGAGTATTACGATGAGTCAACAAAATTCATCCAACGAAGTGACAGATCTCCTTATGAGATGGATGTGTACATTACTTGGAAAACCTTACGAATACCAAAGACATTTGTATAAAAAAACCATGTAGTTGGGCTAAAAGATAGTTCTCCGGCAATACCTAAGGAGCCAGTAGTCCTGCTACCAGTCTGTCCTAAACCAATATTATTGATGAATATGTCAACTTTAACAAGTATTGAAAACCTACCCTGCTCAATCTGCATGTAAGTAACTACTGCTATCTCTCTCAGTCGATTAATGTAGTTAGGAATTGGATGTAAAATGTTCAGTAGTAAGGAATTTATGTCTGATCATATTTCACTTAATGTGTTAATTGATAGCTTATTGGTTGTAATAAAAAATATAATGTGTATTATTGAAAGTTTAATCAAAGGGCAGTTACATGCTCAGACTGAAGAATTTAGTAATTTTAACAGTGAAGCTTTTCAAGATACCTTCAGTAATCTCGATGTAGCCAAGTCTCTTAATATATTGAATAAAAGTATTGTGTTTTAAATTTCAGTTTTGGAGTCAATTCTTGACTAACTGTAAACTTCCTTGCCTTAATGACTTGTGCACTCTACTTTCGACTGTAAACCTGGATTTTAGATAAATCTATTAATAACTAGATTTAAATCAAACTCCAAGCAACTTGCTTACACATCATCCTGTTACACAAACAAAAAGATTAAACTGAATTCAATGTAAATCCTTCTGAAGGCAGTTTCTTTTTAAAATTTTGTTATACTTTCTATTTAGTTTTAATTTGTTGCTTTTTAGAATATAATCTTCATTTCTAATATTTTTTTTGTGCTAGTTCAAAATTTAGCTGAAAACCCACTTTAGGTAAACCTCATGAAACACGACCTCTGTAGGCTTACACATGAGTAAATGCATTTTTATCAACAGTTAATTTAATGGAAATCATTTATATGCTTTATTCAATTATACTTTTACAATTAACCATTATATTCACAAAATAAATTTACCTCCTCTTCTTTGTACTCTGCCTTTCTCTTCTTATTAGAGGGTACAGATTTATTCTGAAAGAAAATGAATAATAAAGACTATTATGAAATATTCTTCACATCTCTCTGCAGCCATCACAAGAGGCTAGACATTTCTGATTTGCTGATTTTCCATATTCAGTCATGTGTGTGGATGGATGGAATACAGACAATCAAAAACAATTGGTGACAAATAATTTATCATTTTCATCTATAAACACAAGTTCAATGTTATTTTGCAAGATAATAACAAAGCAACATGCAAGTTGTCCTAAAAGTACATCACCACATATTTATTTTCATAAACAAAGTATTAGTTTAAATACCATATTCTATCTTGTACACAATGCTTTCAACAAATCACATAGAAAAAAGTCAAGAAGTGTCAATTAGTATTAAATATGTGTAATTTTTTAAAATTTCTTCAATAGTAAAAGCAAATCTTTCAACTATTTGTCTTCGAGCAGCTCGTATATTGGTGCTCCCATTTTCCTACTTGGACGATCTGTTGATATATCAGCTTGTAGGTCTTGTTCTATTTCATGATCAATCTCACATTTTGAATGCCTTATATGTTCAATATAAAACTAGAACTACTTCCGTTAATGAAATATCTTCAATCTGAGCACCGATTTGATAAAAGAAAGATGTGTTTTCAGTGATTTACGTGAGTGAAACAAAGAAAATGACAATGCCTACTACTTCTTGTACGCCTTGTCACTTTATATTTGAGCAAGCTAGGAAGTTATTCGAGGAAGTTATGAACCAGGAAAATGACTTTATTTCCAGTGATCTTGATGATGATTTTGAAAGTGAGAAATTTGACTTGGATAGATCTAGTGAAAATGAGAGAGAGGAGAGTCCTGTGACCGGCCCTCCAGGTGTTAGTACGGGTAAAGACGAGGGAAAGAAAAGCAGGTTTTAGACTTAAGAGGAAGAAAACAGTTGTAGTAGCACAAGGAGATAGAGAGAATGGTGAAGATGAAGTAGCATGGAGAGTAGTTGAAGAAGGAGAGACTGATGTGATTTTCATTCCATGAGCCACAAAGAAATGTAAAGCTGGATTTGGATGAAAGCCATTCATCAGTGGATTTCCTCAAAGCTTTTCTTGACAAAGAAATTGTGGCCATTTTTATTGCTAGCGTCAATGCATATGCAGCAAAGGTTTCAGAGAGAAACCGCCAACAAAATGACCCTCATTTGCCTCGTGGACACCAGTTACTTATTATGAATGGTTGAAATTTACAGCAGTTTTGACTGCTATGAGTTTGGACTACTGGTTCACTATGGATATCTCTACACACTCTGGTATTATCAGATGTTTACTAAGAACATGTTTGAGATCATCTACAACAGCATGCTTCACGTCTGCCTACCAGATGCTGAAAACAAAGCAAAGATTGTGCCATTTGTGGAGAAGTTCCAGGCTGCCTTCTACCTGTATGGAAATGTGTGCACATTGATGAGATGGTTATTGGGTGGAAAGGAATATTTCAGCACAAGCAGCCTCGGCTAGTGCTACTCCTTGTTTGTTTGTGATAAAGTACAAAGCACTTCTTTGGACACAGATATGGTCTGTCCATGCATCCTGTACAAACATAACTGGAGCTACGATGTTTTCCAGGACCACTACACACAGTCTTAAATATTTTGAATAAATCTATTGTAACTCGAAAATTAGAGGTGATCAGTAATTTTCAACATGAAATTTAGAATCAACATCATCAAATTACTCAGAAACAGTGTATATTTTTTCAAGCAGCAGAGAAATTTTCTTTTGTTACCCAGTGCATTTTATTGTAATTACAATGATCAAAACCAAGAAAAATAACTTGTGATGATATAAAGCCTTATTTACCAAGTATTTCAGCAGATTATAAACACATAGAACTGACTGACAAATATACTTTTATCATAAATATCAGTGTCATACATACTTCATTCTGCTCCTCTTCAGTATCAAAGTTTTTTTCAATGTCACCGGGAGGCTCCTCTAGACTTGTACCTGTCTCCAATTCATTATTATCTGGTTCGATTGGCTGCAATGGTTAGAATTATACAAATTTCATTCAGGCTAGAAGTATAAAAATCTGATTATTTTCAGATTACTTTTACATGGTACTGTAATTTGTCTTTGTTTTTTTGGACTTTTAACTGCCTGGTTTTAATGTCATTTTGGTGAACTTGTATTGGTACTTGTCACAAAATAGAAAGAAAAAAAAGCTAATTTATATTATTTGAAATATTTTCAGTAATAACTAGACTTGAGCAAATGAAACTAGAAAGAAAACTATGATATCCTAACATTTTTTTTTTCAAAACCAATGTCATTTCTCTTCATGAATACCTCAAAAATTCATTCAGTTAAAAAAAAAAATGACAAAACAATTTCACACATATTACAAAATATTACATGTCAGTATTAATTGTAGAATTATGAATAGGATCTATTTGATGAGATTTTTTAAACATTCTACTGCACACCAAATTCCTTACAGGTCTATTACTTTGTTCATTATATGATCCCTAATAACAGAAGTCACACACAAAAAAATTAAACTACAAAAAAAACATGTAAAGTTTTGCTAATTAGATACTGCCGAGGGCAGCCAAGTGGGATATATAGACCGGAGCAAGTGAACACAACTTTAGACAGTAAAAAAGAAGATTGAGAAATAGCTATTAGTGTCAGCAGAGGTATGTATGTTTTGGAATGAAAACAAAAGTTCTGATTATTTCAAAATGAAATATTTTATTAGCAACTGATTTCACAATGTGTTACTCTTCTGGTATATAACATTAAATCTTGTTATTCTGCATGAAACTTTACAATTCCCTTACAATTTGTATTTCAAACTATAAATATTACTTAGTAAGACATTCAAAAGGGCAGTATATACATTCATATAATACAAACAAAAAACTTAAACGTATGTCAATACTATTGTTTCATTTACTTACCATTTGTGATGGAGGTATTATTGTAGGATTATTCTCTATCTCCCACAGACCTTCATTGAAAAACTTTCTTTTTTGTGGATTTCCATACTTTTCTTTGAACTTATGGTAAGGATAAAGATCTTTGGTACCAAGGTTGGCACTAAAAATTAGAAAGGTCATAGTCATATATCAGTATATATTTGAAAACTGATGATGCTTACCTGCAAGAGCAAAATACAACCCTGAGAAATTTGGCTAGCACTAAACCCCCGCTTTGAAAATTTTAATACAGTGTTGGAAATAATTATGAAACAGCAAATATTATGGTTTTGCTCCTCTCTACTGCTTTCAATTGAACAGCACCAGATACAGTGTGCTGATAGCTTACAGGGTAACTGGCTATCACCCAACTAATGCCACACCAACATAATGACTGTTAAAATACAAGCAGTCACACTTTTCCTAGCAGTAACATGGTGAATTTACTCAAGGATTCCAGCAAAGAAATGTCACATGGCATACATATATAGAAGTCAAAGTTTAGCTGATGAAGGATACTCTATTCAACAAATTGAGGCTAAATTTCATGTCTTAGTATGAGAAACTAGTACTGCTGATAATAGAACAGGTCAAGAAAGAAAGCTCAAACTCTTCAAAAAGAAATTCTAAATAACTGTTTTCTCTTTATATAATACACAAAACACCAGTTAAGATCTTGCCAACAACCTCCAGAACAGTGAGATACACTTTGGTTTAAAGTGTCCTCAATAGATGGGTAGTTGTTCAGGAAATACTACTTAGGAGAGACAACCAAAACAAAAGGATGAAGTTAGCATCAGGCTTCAAAAAATGGGATGAACAAAGCTGGGGAAAGAGTGCTCTTTAGAGATGAATCCAAATTGTTTGCAACAATTAACGATATTTTATTTGATGGTAAAAAGGAAAACCATACCACAGTTAATGTACAACAATATGTACCAATATAAGTGTGCACTTCAGGTAGTGGTATTAAGAGATCTGCACAAAAATTGAAGGCACACTGAACGGTGATATGTACAATCTGATTGTTATTAATTCTGTCATTCCCTCAGGAACAAGGTCAGTTGAGTGGAATTATTCTTTCAGCAAAATGTGGTAAAATGATGCTTGGGACAAAAAAATAAGCCAAAGGAACTCCTTGAAACTTGGCCTGCACAAAGTCCAAAGATGAATAGTATTAAAGCTGTATAAAAATGTAAAATGGCTGAATTGTTGGGAATAATACTGAACATTTGGAACAACATTTCACTATTACAAATTGATATACTTATAGTAGCATGAAAAACAATGTGTACTGCTCTGTTTAAAGCAGACCAAATATTCATGCAACTTTTTGTACTTTCTTTAATAATTTATTATTTAATAATGAAAAATTAATCATTTCGTTGTAATTATTCATTGTCTGTGATTCCTGTATATGTATGAGCCATGTTTCCATAATTATTTCCAACACTGTATACACACAAACATCTAAATCTATGTATTTTGTGTATGTGTGAAAACAATGGTCCTATAAAAGGCCCGCATATTTAAATGTTTGACCTTGTATAATGTAATATTTTTAATACTAACAATTGATAAGAATTTTTCAAAAATAGCAGTTTTCTGAATAATAGATGTTCACAATAAAAAGGGCCTTCATTTCATAAAATATCCCGTGTAATGGCAAGAAGAAATAACTATGTGAAAACCAATTCTGTTTTGTTTTTAATACAAAAATTCCAAATTTTGACACTTGTTAATATCTATTAAATATTATATACAGCAAGATTACCCAACAATATACATGCATCTAGGTTAAAGCTGGCTGATTAGTGGAATTGTATAATCAATAAACCAATCACATTAAACTAATTGATTATTCTTACAGGAGATGGCCCAAAAATTATAATGTTAAAAACTGGTTTTATGATACCTTTGGCAGGCAGAGCACAGATAACCCATTGTATATCTTTGTGCTTGACAAACAAACATAATGGCAGTATTTTGATCAATTGAATAGTTGGAATCAAAATATCAATAATCAGAAACCATAATTTGATTACTTTTGTGGGTCATGACAGTAATAGATTACACTGAACAAGTTTGAATTAAATGAAATAATAATGGAAAATTACAATGCCAATATTTGATAATTGGAACAATAGAAAACAGAAATAATGAAACACTAATTTTGATTATTTTTCATGACAGTAATTGATTTAATCATAATTTTGGTTAATGAAGAGTTGGAATAATCAAAAACAATAATAGTAATACTCAGAAACACTAGCTTATTATTTTATGTAATACTAATCAAAGTAATCAATGTTGAAAGGTAACTGATTATACTGATTCATCAAGTTAATTGCTCAGCTCTAATCTAAGATACTTTGTATAAAGATGTATTAGAGCAACATCTATAAGGAATCAACTGTAACAATGCTGCATTAACTTTCCATACTTCAATTTTTAATGTTTTGTGTACCTTCACAAAATCTGGCAAGCTTTCAGTAAAAACAAGTTTTTGTACACAAAGTATCAGATTTTTTAATTAAGTATTTTTACTAAAAATTTGTCTGTGAATACATAGATTTAGTATTGACTGCTCTGAGTGCAAAGTGATTTTGTGTTAAGACTAAAAATACTAGTCTTCATCTGAAAATTTCAAAATTTCACTTACATAACCTCTAAAACCTCTTAAGTAAATATGAAATATTTTTTTCAGTAAAACTTTGTATTTTATCAGTTTTTTCTCTACCCTAACTCTATATAGCTTTGATCCATTTGACAGAACTTGTAACTACTTTAAAAACAAAACAAAAATTAAATACATCTAAATTACCCTTTTTCTTTCTAGAATGACTGTAGATTGTAACAGGAAACTATAACTGTTTATCCTAAATAGCTTAAGGCTACATCTGTTTATACTTAATTTTATTGCCCTTTGAACTGTGTCTGACTAATGATTCCACCACACAAGTTGTAAATCACTCAAAAACTCGTTGGCTCATGTCACCATACTGAATGATGTAACACATGAGCTGCTAGCAAGTATAGCCAATGAAGAATTGTTTTTTTATTTTCATTAAGTTACCTAATCTAACC